CAGATATTGGACTTAACTAGACAATGATTTTAAATCAGTTATTTTAAATATGGTTAAGGACCTAAAGGAAATATCTAAGGACTGCAGGGAAGTATGTCACCAAATAAAGACCTAAAAGAGGCAGAAATTATAAAAAGGACCAAACAGAAACTCTAAAATTAAAGAGTACAATAACTAGAATGAACATTTCACCAAAAAAGTCCATTCAACAGCGGAGCTGAGTAGGTGGAAAAAAGAGTGAAGCAACTAAGATAACACATCCATTGAGACTAAGCAGTGAGAAACAGAAAGAAAAAAGTAATAAAAAACAAATGAACCATAGGACAACATCAAGCTTACCAACAGATGCATAATGAGAGTACAGGACAGAGAAGGGAGACGCAAAGGGTCTAACACAATTTTTGAAGTAACCGTGGCCAAGAGGTTCCAAAATATGAAGGACATGATTAATCTACACACTCCAAAAGCTCAACTAAAAGTAAGATAATCTTGGAGAAAGAAATCCACACCTGGATACATTATAATCAAAGTTTTAAAATAGCCAAAGACAGAGATAATCTTGAAAGCAGCAAGGGAGAAGCAACCTATCATATTCAAAGTTGATTTCAAATGAGAAACCATGAAGAACAGAAGGCAATGGGACGACATATTAAAGTCAATAGGACAAGAGGAGATGATGAGTCCATGGAGATGGCAGCAGGGGAAGGACAGGCCATTGGAAAGTATCACTCACAGAGAAACATTCCAGGACAGAGTGAGAAGCAGAAGCAAGTGGTGAAGAAAACTCAAGTAAGGAAAGGATAAGACAATGCCCACCGGATTTGATTAAAAACCAGCAGGGCCACTGGAAGCCACAAGCAAGTGGGAAGAAAAACCAAGGCATCTCATAGACATTTGAAGTTGAATGCAAAGTGTGGAGACATCTGAAAAAGAACAGAATTTTAAATAATCTGCTAAACAACCTGAGTATCACGGAAACTCAGAATATTTATGGAGTGTGATTTTTAAAGACATTCAGTTGATTCATCGCAAAAATGTCTAATTTAACCCAGTGTTTGAATTCTTGAGAAGTGAGTAACGAGTGAGTTAGTGCTCAACATGACATTTTCTACTTCTATACAGGAAAAAGTAAAGAAAACATTCTATGCTATATAACGAGTTATCATTAAATCACCTCCTTGTAGAACAACAATTACATCAGGTTATCTTCATCTTTATATTTCATGAGGAATCAGTTTGCTTTATTTTTCTCATCAATGTAAACCATTACATAATGTCTGATCCTCTGCCAAAGTAATTAAAAACACAGAAATAAATGTGTAGCTCAATTTGGTAAATGTGTACCAGCAAAAGACCTGCATCTATCACCCACACGCCACGTTTGCTCTTCTAGTCTTCTGTACTTCTGTATCTTCTATGACTGTGTCTGACCCATTTCTGTCTCTACCTTTTCATATGAAAATACAGATACATAAACCCTTACAAAATCCTTAAAAAGCCCTTATAAAAGTTTGTAAAACAAACTCAAGTTTAAGAACCAAACTTACCTGAGCCATGTTCATTTTGTGCTGCTCCTGGAAGAGAGTAGAGGCCTGTGAAGGTTCATCTGGAGAGGAGGAAAGAACAAAGGGGTCATGAGAGACTTGGTCTGCTTTATACTTCCTTTAGAGGAGTTCTTAATTATGACAATTACAATGGTTTTACTGCTACGTAATCCCATCATGATCGAGACGTGTCTGCATTCACCTGCCTTAAATTCTCATCACACCCAACTAGAGAAAAGGTTTCCCAATGGGGAATGTCACTATGACTCTTGAAAAGGGACAGAAGGACCACACAAAGGTAGCAGCACTTGAACGCATTCATCTCTGATATTAAGTCCATTTAACCCTGCATTTTTCACTGGGTGTGGTAAAAACTGTATTTTGTTAATTTAGTAACAACTTATGTTCCTTGTGAATACCTGACCAATTTGTAAAAATAATACAACAGAAGATTAACTTCACACATATGTTCAGGTACACAGAGGTGAAACCCTCTATCTTCATTCAACATAATATCCCCCAAAAAACAACTCAGGCAGGATTAGTAAGCAAATTCTTACTGTCTTTACACCCTGAGTTAGAGCTTCCACAGAAAACTCTAAAATAAAGATGAAATGTTTTATACAAGGAATGTGTTTTTCAACATTTTGCTCAATAATGGCTGCTGATTCTTAAAAATGACCTTTTGATAGGATGCTTATGACACTCACCTGTGTGTGAACCTGGGTCTGCCCTGGGTGACTATACACAAGTCATTAATTTCAGGCCCCAAAAGAGGAGGAACCCAAAAAGCCCCAGAATTTATTTATTAAAAAAAAATGGTGTACTTATTCTTACGTGTACAAACTTCAGTCACCCTCAAAAAACTCTTCATTTGATGCAAGAAACCTATTGAGACACTTTTTCCACTGCTCAAAACAATTTCTAGACTCATCAATTTTGGTGCCTTTTAGTGCTTCTGCTGTTTTTTGTTTCACCTCTTCCATACCCACAAGATGTTTCCCTTTGAAGACTTTTTCCCAGAGAAACAGAAAAAAGTTACTCTGGGTGAGATCAGCTGAATAGGCAGGGTGGGTTATGGGGGTCATGTCATTTTTGGTCAAAAACTGATGAATACACAGGGTGGTGTGGGCAAGTGCCACCATAATGAAATGGGCAAATGTGTTGAGTCTCCAAAAAAAAAAAAAAAAAATCATAATAACTGAAGCCAAACACAGCCTCTCACAACAACGCTAGGTGGTACACGGATGCTGGTGGGTTCCTAGGACACTTACCTAGTGGGAAAAGCCTGTACTACAAGGGGTCTGCCCTCCAAAAGTTAACTGATTTTTTTTGGGGGGTCCCCCTCATATTTTGGGGTTTCCAACATAGAAAACTCCCTCCCTCTAGTATCATTTTGTTATTATCTATGTTCAAGACAGAAGGAGTGTCAGCATAACTCTAAATGCCACATGTAGTAATGAACATAGTGTGACAGCTACTCAAAGTGCAGAAAAAGTAATGGGAAAATGAAGGAAATGGGGTGTCATTTAGGATTTTGTCAGCTGACTATATCTTCTCTGGATACTATGGCCTCACCAGCCCTCTAATAAAGTACATTTTTCTCCTCAGCTTGAAACTCAACCTTCTCAACCCCCGGTCACCACGTTCTGCAAGTTAGTGCACATTATCCCTGGTGACACAGTCCGTAACAGCTCCTGAATGTGGTAACATTATAAGTCTTACTCATGCTACGCAGGGAACCAAGAACTGCCTCAGGTGAAGCAAATCAGAACTTGTGCCTTTCTAGAATCTTCTGCCTTGGCCCTGAAGTTCTGAAACAGGTCTATGTCAAATGGGTCGTTCTCAGTGGCAGGACCTGGCATGGACTCCCTCTTTCCAGCCTCTTGTCACAGTTGCTTTCTTTCAGAAGGGCTGGGACTCGGGCCTGAAAAACAAATTGAATTTACCTGAAACTTTCATCTAGCACCCTAAGCCTGACTCTTTTGGAATTCACCAGAAACGTGCTATCCAATAATGTAGCCATTAGTTGCATGCAACCACTGAACATCTTAAGTGTGGCCAGCGCCAGAAATCAAGATAACATTCTGAATGTAATGACTCAAGGAAAACACATCAGCAAAATTGGCTCTGCCTGCCTCTTTTGACTGTAGCTGCTGAAAAATTCTAAATGAGGCTTGTATTTTTCATCGACTTTCTACTGGACATCACTGCCCCCGAATAGGAATCTGTGCCCTTGAGGGGAGGGGCAGCCTCAACTGTGCTGGAGGGTTCAGGACCCTCAGTCCAAACCATGGAACTGGAGATTGTACAAATCTCAGGATAGAGTTACCACTTGGTGAGATCTGTCCACGTTCACTTCACAGTCTCGTAGGGAGAGCTGAGCACTGACCCCTCTGAAAAAGTGCTCCCAAGGTTTCAGGCAGGTACTGGCAGCTCCGGGTTTCAGGGAGGTCTGCTATCAGGAAGAGCAAGAGACAGGGAGTCAAGCCCACCTGGATGCGCCTTCTACCCTCTCACCTCCTAGCTTGTGCCCTGGGGTGTCCACCCTCGTGAAATTCCCTGCACTACAAAATAAAAACAAAAATAATATGGCACGTGTATCACGACCTCCGGGGTCGCTGCGAGGGTTCAATGAACCGTCACGGACGAGGACAGACAGGTGTCCCCTTATGACGACAGCCGCTTCCATGCCACACAGCGAGGGTCGCGGGCGCCGGCCGACCCGTCTGACCAAGGACCACCGCTTCGCTTCTCAGAACAACCACACGGAGCGACGGCCGCCCCTCGGGTCCACCGCCCACGCCCGCACC